TGGGTGTCTCTTTTCTCTACGCGTACCATTTGCTGGTGGTTTCAGAGGAAAAGCAAAAGGAAACCAATCATTTTGGGGGTGCCCCTTGGAGAGAGACCCGTGGCTTTCAGATGATCCAATTTCCCACTGGGTTGGAACTGCCCTTTCATTTGGACGCAAGACCCAAATCCTCCGATTCAAGCGGCTGGCAATGCGAACGCCTGAGCCAGGGAGGGGATGAGGAAATTGTTGTCCTTTGTGTGCTTCACTACCCCGCAGAATATGAAACCCTTGTGTTGCCTTCCCAGATTCTTGCGCGCCAGCTCTTGCGAAAGGCTTGCGAAGGCACCTCTTTGTGGGGCGGCGCCTGATTTGGGCGGTACCGCATAACCCACGATTTATAGTTGTTCTGAGTGCAGCCCAGCGACTCTGTGGCAGGTAGGCTGCGGCTTGACGGTGCCAACCGTGCGACGCGAGCTGGAGAAGATCCTGCAGAAGCGGGAGACCTGGTGTTGTTTGCGAGTGTGACGCCCCCGATTTGGGGAGTCGAGCTGTGTGGGTTGCAATGGAAGCCAACAAGAGAAAGAAACCTTTGTGGATTGCCCCCCTGTTTCGACGCATACCTCAACGATCAGCGATGGTTTCCTCTTTTGGTTTCCTTTGAAACTTGGTCCGAATTTCCTGTAGACTATGGTCTATTTGTGGAGGACACTGGGGGCTTGCTAAATTACAAAGACCACACCAAGGGGTCACTCATTTCCCACGCCACTATGGGAACCGCAGATTCTGACCGTGGATCATGCGACGAGTTGAAATCCCCTCATGGTCGGTGGACTTGGAAACCTGAACGAGATACAATGCGGGGGCGAAACGAGCACGTTCCTTGATGAAGGTCCCTTATTCCCTGTTTGGGTATTTTAAGACATTTGCCCAGATAAATCCAACCACGTACACGAGTGATGTCCAGCAAAGGGTCCCGAAGAGAATCAGTTTCACACATACATAGTGTGAATACATAGATACATATATATATATGTATATATGTATGTATTAGCACCTTCGTGCTGCTTTGCCGGGTCTTGCAGCGATGGGTAATTGATGATCATGGGTTGGATCGGCTGGGATGTTTCGTTTGGGGACTTGACGAGGTTGCTTGGATTTCTGGGATGCCCGTCCCCATGCCCGAGCGATCCTATGATCCCACGAAAACCAACAACCCGTTGAAAGGTTCGCTTTGGCCATTACCCTTTAAGTGTTGTTTGCACCCCCCGTCAAGTTTTTGTCGGGCGCGGAAACTATCTCGCACGAAAGCCGCCGTCAACTTGGGAGGGTTCAGCTTTGAGATCAAATACTCGCGGCTGCCAACTTTAGCGTTGGGTTGGAGGTTGTCCCTTCCGCCCTTGGTAAGAACATGGACAGAGCCTCCCCTCAATGCAAGTGCAAGCATGTCATTTTTGAGCGGGACGGTCAAAGCCAAACATGTTGGGGAATCCCTGTAGATTGTGAGGTCCATCTGCCACGGCCCCCTGAAAGCAGACCACCTTTTAAGGACCACTTCAAGCCGGGCTGCCTTTTCTTGAGGTTCTTTTTGGGCCAAGTTGGTTGTCTTTTGTTTCAGAGCCTTTTTGGTATGGTTTGAAAGGGAATCCAAAAGAACAACCACCTGTTTTGCGGTTCCTTTGCGATTGCTTTGACCTCGACTTCCCTTGGTTTTGAGTTTCGAGAAGAGTTCCCTTGCCGCATTCCCCAGTGACTTTGAGGAAGATCCTGCGGTACCTTCACAAATGCCTCCCCGAGGTCCTGGACTTTGTATGTCGGAGAGAGAATTTTTAGTGGTAAACGGGATGTCTAAAGAATGTCCGAATCCACTGTGACAAGGCCGGGCTTCTGTTGTCTAAATCCCACGGGTCCGATGCCGCCCTTGCGAGGTTTCCTGGCGGCCGCCTGATCAGGGCGCCCCCGCCGCGCTTCCGTGACGTCGACTTGTGGCACATCCACTTCTTGTGTGTGTGTGTGTGTGTTTGTTTTGAGGGTAGCTGGCTTGTTGCCGAACCACCCATGTCTTAGCTTCTGGGATTCGGGGCAGCTTGGACTGCTGTGGGGGGATGGTCTTGTTAAAACGAGTCAGTCCCAGGATTGCTCTTTGCTGGTGCTTGGTTGAAGCATGTTAAAGCCAAATAAGGTGCGGCCCCTGTTCGGGGCCAGCCAGTTGTCCATGTGTGAGGCGGGCTCAGCAATAGGCTGAAGTTCTTGCTGGTGAAATCTTGGCCGCTGTACAAGGGAAAGCACCCTCAAAAGTGATGTTCCTGTTGGATAGCAGGGCTTCAGCTCTTTTGTCTCCTAGAGCTGTTTGCTGTTCTTCCCAATAAATTTCGCCTCCCCCCCCCCCCCCCGCAAGAGAGTGGCCATTTCCATGTCTTCCCAAACCGAGGTTTGCCCCAAGCACCTTCACCCGTTGCCCCATTCGCGCCAGGTGAACCCCGAGAACCCGGGCCTTGCCAAGGAGTTGGTCTCTCGGGGCGCCGCTTGGCGGTTTAGTCGCACCATGAATTCTTTTGAATCACCTTCGGGGTGAACCGGTGGTTCAAAGGGCTGATTCCACAGCCAGTGAGACATCGCAATTGGACTGATCACTAGACAGGGCCAGCTTGTTTGGCAGATGTTGTACTTGTTGTGTTATGGACTGGGACTTGCGGCGTTGGCGTTGGTTCATTCTGCATCCCAGCCATTTGAAACTCGAGGGCCTTCGATCCAACTACCATGGCTTTGTGCGTCTTGCTTCTTCTGATCCCGCTCTGCGGTGCGCAGCAGCCGGGCACCTTGAAGTCGGAAGGCAATCCTACCATGGCCGTGAAGGAGTGCACCAAAGCGGGCGGCTGCACGACCAAGGAGCACAAGTTGGTCCTGGACGCCAATTGGCGGTGGATCCACACGACGGAGGGTTCCAAGAACTGCTACACGGGCAACAAGTGGGACACCAGCATTTGTACCGATCCGGACATCTGTGCCCAGGGCTGTGCTCTGGAGGCAGTGGATGCAGGGCAGTACGAGAGCATCTATGGCATCACAGCTGTGCCAGGCGGCGTTCGCCTGAACTTTGTGACCGGCGCGAATGTCGGGTCTCGGCTGTTCCTCCTGGAAGATGATGAGACTTACAAGCTCTTCAAGCTCAAGAATCGAGAATTCGCCGTTGATGTAGACTCCTCGACGGTGGAGTGCGGCATGAACGGAGCCATGTACTTCATCGAGATGGCAGCAGATGGTGGCAAGGGCCGCGGCCACAATTCTGCAGGCGCCCGGTATGGCACTGGATATTGCGACGCACAGTGCCCCCACGACGTCAAGTTCATCGGTGGCAAAGCGAACTCCAAGGATTGGAAACCTCATCCCAAGGATTTCAGCAACTCCATGGGCCTTGGACACTATGGCGCCTGCTGTGCTGAGATGGACATCTGGGAAGCGAACAACATGGCAACGGCCTACACGCCGCACCCTTGCCACATTGACACCCCGGGCCAGTACATGTGCGAAGGCACTGAGTGTGGCGACAACGACAGCGGGGAGCGGTACGATGGGCTGTGCGACAAGGACGGCTGCGACATCAACCCCTTCCGCAACGGCAACGCCACATTCTATGGAAAGGGGGCTAGCTTTGACGTGGATTCTGCCAGGCCCATGACTGTGGTCACGCAGTTCCTTACAGCGGATGGAACCGATGATGGTGACCTCTCTGAAATCCGCCGCTTCTATGTCCAGGATGGCCGCGCAATTTCAAGCCCGTCCATTATGACTCTCCCGAAAACGCCGGACTCCATCACGGACGAGATGTGCTCGGACATCAAGGACCTCTTCGAGAACGAGAACGACTTTGAGGAGAAAGGCGGAAACAAGGCCATGGGAGAGTCCTTGGAGCGTGGCCATGTTGCGGCTTTCTCCCTGTGGGATGACATCGACGTCCACATGATGTGGCTGGATTCCTGCTAGGCCATGCAGCGGCCCAGGCGTTCACCGCGGAATGTGCCCGGGCGGTGAGGAGAGCTCTCCCCAGAACGTGCGCAGCAGGCACCCGCAGGGCTACGTGACCTTCGCCAACGCGGCTGTGGGCGAGATTGGCTCCACGCAGTCTGTGTATCCTGGGCCTCCAATGACGTCGCTTCCCCCAACGACCACCGTGGCTTCAACCACCACATCGAGCGCGACAGCGGTGCCAAGTACGACCACCGCCATGACGTCGCAGACGGCGCCGGTGACCTCCACACAGCCAGCGTCCTGCGCAGGGGCCTGGCAGCAGTGCGGAGGGCGAAACCATGCTGGCCCGACCTGCTGCACGGAGGGCTACCGCTGCATTGTGGGCAATGAGTGGCACTCGCAGTGCAAGCCCGTGACTTCAACCACCACATCGAGCGCGACGGTGGTGCCAAGTACGACCACCGGCACGACGTCGCAGACGGCGCCGGTGACCTCCACACAGCCAGCGTCCTGCGCAGGCGCCTGGCAGCAGTGCGGAGGGCGAAACCATGCTGGCCCGACCTGCTGCACGGAGGGCTACCGCTGCATTGTGGGCAATGAGTGGTACTCGCAGTGCAAGCCCGCCACCGAGACGGCCCTTGCCCAAGCCGCGCCGCAGAAGTCCAACAGCCGTCGCCACAAGTTTTTGGGTCCGAGCTTCCTACAGTCCAAGGCAAAGACCGAGAAAACAGCCGCCTTGCAACCTGAAGAAAGTGAGCTGTAAAGTGACGGCTAGCTTTGCTTTGGCTGCGTAGGTACGCCCATGCGAATTAGTGCCCAGCTGGACGAGTGAGCCAGCTCCCGGAGATTTCGGCTATAGCCGCCAAGTGCTGCAGTGCACCGGCGGGATTCTTTTTGCTAATCAGCGGGCTTTTCCTTGGGCAAAACGGCTTCCATTGTCGGATTTGTGCACTCCTCCCAGGTCCATGCCATGTGGCATGCACCTGCCCAAACTAAAGGCCTCTTATCGGCTCTGCTCTATGGGCAATTCGCCCTCACAAAATGCCTGTGCCAGGCTCAAGCCGTACTCATAGTTCACCATGTCACCCGCCCCTCGAAGCAGCAGCGGCACGTGGTCAGGCAGTGCAACCCCTCACGATTCGGATCCGCACAAAGGCTCACCACATGGTAGATGCCCGGCTGCTTGATGTAGAGGGTTCCTCTGGTCGAAGGCAACAGCCTCCTATAGTCCGGTGTGCAGCATCTGGGGCACGGGAGCGCCTCTGTCTGACGCATAGCGTTCCGAAGCCCATAGCAATCATGCCGCACATGATATCGTTCCCCACAGGGTGTGAAGAAGATCGATGGCTCCAGGGGGATGTAGTCGTCATCCGCATCGGGCTCAGGGTCAGCCCCTTCTCGATCCTCAGGCTCCGGCTCATGAACTGCCCGAGGAATCATTCTTCCCTTCTGCTTTCCTTTCGACGCCCCCTTTGTGTTGGGCCTGAACTTGGGCAATGCGCCCAACTGCCTAGCACCCGAACTTGCCGAAGTCGATCCCCTCGCTGTAGGCTCCACCCTTCGTGCCGTAGAGCTCTCTCTTGCCGTAGTTGTGCTTCCCGTTGTCATACCTGACGTTGAAGCCTCCGCCCCACTTGACCTTGCCGTAGACGGAGCCCTCGATGTTGCTCCTCGCCTCCCTGCGGTTGAGCCCCTTTCTGAGTGTTCGTCTTCTTCTTCTTCCTCGGGGTCGGCACCAACTCCTCGAGCCCTCATAGCTCTCATCCTCGGTATCACCTGGCGCGTGCACATCATCTCCACCAGCTTGTACAGGACGATCGACAGGACGCTCACCATGGTCATCAGCGCCTTGAGGGACTCGTCATCCTCCATCTCGCCATCCGGCAACTTCTCCTTGACCGCCTGCACCTGGGAGATCAGACTCGCGATGGTTAGCACCTTGATTGCCCCCGTGACCATCTCTGCGTCCACCGGGATGTTCTGGCCCGCGAGCTTGGCTTCCTCTCTCAGATCCATGCCCATCTGCTCCTCCTGGTTGACGTCCTCCTTCTGGTCGTCGTACTGCTCCAGCTTCCAGAGCTTCCTGAGCTCTTCCATTCTCTTCCCACTGAGCGCCTTCGTGCCCAGGTCTGCCAGCATGCGAACTCCCGGCACATGATGAATAGTCCAGCTCTGGTCATCCAGCCTCCACCTGAGGTTGTAGGCCCTCACCCTCAAATGCCGAGTCCGCCAGCTGCCGCTGCCTTCCGAGGCTATTGCTATAGCCGACGAGCTGTCCGTCAACAGCTGCCTCACATAGGCATTCCCGGCCGCCTCTTCTATCTCCGCCACCAAGGCCTCGACGCTCTCTCCCATGACGATGCCCTCCAAGCATTCCGCCAGCTCCGATTCCGCGGTACTCATAGTCGGGAAACTTTGCCTCGAGCTCCTCCACGCAATAGCACCTCCATTCCAGAGCACTGCCACCGAACCGTGGCTGAGACCACCGCCAGGGGAAAACGATGCGTCCGTATACACCTCGATCCTCCTCCCTTCAAGGCCTGACTCTCCATTTCCGACCTGACGCTCCAGCCACAAGCCCACCTCCTTTGTCTTCTTCAGATAGCGCCACACCTGGTCGGCCAACTCCATGACCCATTTCGGCGCCTTTGTCACCGCCGATGACATTCGGCTTGTAACGTACATCAGGTCCGGCCTTGTCTTCGTGGTCAGCCATAGGATTTCTCCGACCGCTCTTTGAGCTGCCTGAACCTCGGCTGCCGTGATATCCAGCTCCTCCGGGGTTTCCGCCATCTCTCTTGTGATCGGGAGAACCGATCCAAGTCCACCTCCGCCGTTCCGATTGAGAACCTCCTGCGTGTAGGCTTGCTGCCCCAGGAAATACCCTCGGCTCGTCCTGCTGATCTCCATGCCGCAGAAGCGCACTTTGGAGCTCTCCTGTATCTTTTCCGGGGTGCTAGTCTCCCACATTGCCTTCACCTGGTGGACGAACTCCTCCAGGATTTGCTCCCCTCCGTAGGCCAGTATGTCGTCCACATAGACTACCGCCAGCCCTTGAAGGTGACCTTCCTGTGTCCACTCCATTGATCCTGCCGTTGATGATCCTCCGCTCATAGTAGGACCTCCAGTTCTTGCCGTAGAGCTCGTCCCACGCCGCTCCTCATCCTTCTCCTGACTTCCCATGATCCGCCACACGTTCGGGTCGGCGATGGACTGCTCCATCCAGAAGGTCTGCGCTCCTCTCTGCCACTGCAAGGTCCGAACCTTCTCGTCCCGGAACACCGCCCATCTTCTCGGTGACTCCCGCAAGCCGTACAAAGCACGCTCCACCGCCCAGTACTCATCTGACTTGCAAAGTCCCAACCGTACTAGCACTGCCGGGGGTCTCATCAGAACAACCTTCTTTTGCTTGCTCTTGCCGTCCTGGACGTGTAGCGGAGCATTGAGGAATGCCGTCTTGATGTCCAGCACTACTCCCTCCCAGTTGTTCTCCGCTGCACATTTCGTCGCCGTCCTGATAGACATCGCGTCTGACCCGCCAGCATATAGAGA